GTTTGGTTTTTACCAAAATTTGAACAACCAAACCGCCTATAATTCAAAACCGAACCGAATCGTTACAAGTCGGTTCGATGCGGTTCGGTTCGGTTTGTTCGGTTCTAACTTCGTCAGATCCCGATACCCGATGATGGAATATTAGTAGGTATGTAAGCTTGGCAGTTAATTATTTCAATATGACAAGGAGTGATACCTAGCCAAGAAGATAGACGTCGGAAGGAATATTTTAATACCACGACATAAATATTTGCATAAAAAGTTACAAATTTAGCTCCCCCCAATACCAGCCATCATCATTAGACACAAAGTCCATATATTCCTACCTCAAGTACAAAATAAAAATCAAATTTCTATTCATCGTGATAGAGCTCAACCACAATCTCGGTCATTATTATATATATATGCTTACAGCAAAAGTGCGGACAAAGAGATCCTAAATCCTAATAGCCCACAAGTTCCTCCTCCTCCGCTCAAACTAAATAAAAAGATCAGCAAAATCCTAAATGCTTACATCTTAAAGCACCCTAAGTTTCAAAATTCATAAAAAAAAAAAGAAAATTCCAGTCTGGAGAGAGAGCTAACCCCACGCTTGAGCTGCTCCTGGAGGACGCTCCATCTAGGGTCGGGGTTCCCAGTGACAGAAGGCGATCTAGAAGAGCGAACGGGTGGCGATTTTAGGAGAGAGTGGATCTGGGAGTGAGGGGTCGAATCGTGAGGCTTGAGAAATAGCGCCATGGAGAAAAGATAAGGCGAAGTGAACTGAGTGAGAGAGAGGAAATGAAGAGCGGCGGCTGGGATAGGAAATGAGTTTAGACCTTTAGGGTTTGAGTCTTTGACTCTTTGGGTTGGGGACGGGTCGGGTAGGGTTGGAGAATTGCAGACTAAGACTTGTAGCATATTCGGTCAGTTCGGGTCGGTTCGGGTTAAAAAGTTTTCAACCCGACCCAAATCGCCCTACTCATAAAACCGATTTTTTCGGGTCAGCTCGGTCAGATTTTTCAGTTTGGACCGAACCATGCTCAGCCCTAGTTGATTTGATTTCTCTTTTCTCAATCAATCGGATTGGGAATATTATAATGGGTTGGTTTGAAAATGATATGGAATTTAGATGTATCTGTTTGATTAATTTGATAAACAATTGAAATAATGATGTAAAAGTAATTTAACAATAAAAACCATTAAGATTTCAACACCGTTTAAGATAGGGTGCAAATTTGAGGGAAGAAAGCAATTTAAGGAGCAAATTTGGAATCATAATGATTTTGAGGACAAATTTGAAATTACATATAATTTAAGAGGCATATATCAAAAAAACTCTTTTGAAATACCAAACAATATATTAACTTTTGTTTCTTAAAGAAGTCCTTTGAAATTGATTATCCAACCTCCACATTTGTTAAAAATTATAAGGTTACTTATTTTTGTCAACTTTACGCAAATTCATTTTTCCTTTTTTTTAGGTAATAACCCCACAGGGGAGATCGTGTAATTTTCGGAGCGAAGTCACGCTTTGCGACAAAAACAAGAAGCTCAATCATATGAACGAAGTGGTTGATTCTAGTTGGGGGTGGAGATGCATGGTTCAATTAAATTTAGTTCCTCTAAGCAATTTTTTATTTTTTTTATGTTACTATATTCTTTTGTATGGTTGATAGCTCCCCTCTTTATAGTGACATATATTGATAGTGACCCTTCAGCTTTCCCAGGGTATAGTTACCGTTTATCTTGATAGCTTTCCCCCTTAAACTGTTGTTTTTTCATAACATATATTATCTTGATAGTGACTTTTATCTTGTTGATATTATTATTTTATATGCATCTTGGTATATAGTACGTTCTTGTTGTTCACATGTTCGTTTTTTGGTCAAACAAATTAAAGCTGTTAAGTTGTTTTTCGAGGTCAAAGTTTGGCTCTTTACCAGCAAAGGATAGGTGTCCCATATATACACCGTTCAAATTGAATTGATAGTCAAGACCATCAAGAATCTTGACTTAGCTGGTTCGTTAAGTCAACATCTTCTTAGATCGACTAGAATGACGGTACTTGTCGGCCCTTTTATCGAAGACGACTCGCTACGAGTCCACTCGACCAATTATTCGACACCTTATAGGGTCGACTCAAAAGACGTTACTTCTCGACACCCCTCTCTATAAGCCAAAGGACGGCTTCAATCTCGAACCTCTCTCGTTGATAGCGCGTCGACATCATATTAAATGCTTGGCAGATGTCATCATTCCTCTGCTCCCAATAGTCTTTATGACACATCGGATCACGTCGGCACCGTCACGCTCTCAATCACTTTACATTAAATACTGAGCTGACATCTCCTCCACTCGTCGACAAACACCTGTAAAGCAGATGCTGACATGGCCGTCATCCCATACTCGGCCGTCATTATCATTCTACATTTTTACCACCACTATAAATAGGGGTACTATTTTCAATAATACAGTAAGTAATTTCTCAGAATTCTTCTCCACTCCACTACACTTAAGAACTCACACAGTTCATCACTTTCTCACTCAAGTTCATCACTGACTTGATCGTCGAAGGAACAACGGGGGAACTAGTCCCCGTCCTCTTACGAGTTGCTATTTGTGCAGGAAGAAGCTACTCAACTCAAAACCAGATATTCGGAGAAGTTAGCAGCCCCTAATCAACCTCACCCCTATTACATTATCTGTATGAAAGAAACCCTAATTTTGTTTTGAATATATGACAGGGAATAACATAGAGTCTAAAGGAATTATCTTAAAGGTGTGTCTGCAATTAAAGAAACAGTTTATTGCAATTCACACTAGTAGAAAATGAAATATCGCAGACGGAATATCCCAGACGAAAAATTTTCCGTCTGGGATAATCTATACTAGACGGAATTAAACCGTCGATGAATTTCCGTTAATACACTATTCTAGACGGAAATTTTCGTCTAGAAAAGTATTGTAGACGGAAATATTTTTTACATTTTTTTTTAAATTTTACTGATTATCCTAGACGGAAATTTCTGTCTAGGATGTATCCTAGACGAAAATTTTCGTCTAGGATAATCAGCTCAATTTATAAAGAGGAAAACCCTAGATTTGGACACCAAATTCCCAAATTCCCACCGTGCCTCTCTATCTCTCATCCGCGATCGTCTTGGTCGTCGTCGTCCCTTCGTCGCCCGACCTCGCCGTCCCTTCCTCGCCCGACCTCGCCGTCCCGTCCGCGCCGAGCTCGTCTTCTACTACCTGGGAGATCGACGATCGTCTTTGAGCTTAACTTCCGAGCTCGTCGTTCTCACCTCCGACGTCCTGGACTTCCGAGCTCATCGTTCTCACCTCCGATCAGATCCGGTCAATATCAGTAATCCTTCAGCCCTAATTACAACGTAATTTTGGGGAAATTTTCCAGCCTAATCAGTCAATTTCACTCATTTCTTGTCTTTCCCCTTTATTTCGATTTCAATTTCCTTTTTTTTTCCTTTTTTTCCTTTTTTGATTTGATATTTGATCTTCATGTTAGTAATACTTTTTCAGTTCAATTTGTGGTTATACTGATCTCGAGACTATTCTGTATCTTCAAAGAAGTTGTGAATTTTGTGATGTTCAAAATTTCAGCTGGGTAAGTACATTGGAAATTGTCAATTTAATGAGATTACGAAATTCATTGATATATGCTCTGTATGTCTGAGTTACAGCTGTAGTGTATCATTATTTATGGTTGTGTTTGTGTATTAATTTCGACGAACAATTTAATTACGAAAGGAGAAGTGATTCTGCTTAACACAATGTGGAGCTAAGCATTATAATGGAAACATTACAATTAAGTTTTTAGCTTGTGTTTAACTTCAAGATAAAATTTGAATCTCCTGGACTTGATCGTATTTGAAGTCATTAGTTTGCGGTAAATGTCTGGGGCGAGGTTGTGATATCTTGATTATTCTCTTTGTCGAGGGGATTGCTTAGTTGGCTTGATATTTGGAATGGTGTATGCTTGCATCTTTTAGTATCTACAAAGCCACATATAGTAACAAATTAATACAAGCAATCAACAATGACTTGTGACCAAACTATAGCCACATATGTATCTACAAAGCCACTATAATATTCATGCTCCCAACATTTGGATTTGTAGCAATAACGAATGAAGTTGCACTTTTTGACCTACAAAATAGAACAATAAGTCAATAATTAGTTGCAGTTTTTGACAATAGAGCCCCGAGTCAATACTTAGTTACAGTCAATAATTAGTTGCAGTCAATAATAAGTCAATGATGGAGTAGAGGAGGAACTTCATGATGATGATGTTTGATGATGAGATTAGATTAGATGCATATTGTTAATTCACTATATTAGATCTAGACTATTCTTGTTTGATTGTATTTTTGCTGATATTTTGGGACCAAAACTTCTAGTTATTGGATATTATATGCCTTTCCATTTAGTATGTATGCATCTTTGATTGACTATTGTAATTTGGATAGCATATGTGTTGGTATTTTTGTATTTATGCAATGTTGATTGAGGAAATGAATTGGTATAAAAATTTGTAATTATTGGATCTGTCCTTCTCGGACGGGTTAGGAATATAATAGTGCATACATCCAACTTTGTATACTTTGTATGATTTCATTTCTTAAAAATTTTGGCAGCCCATACCTGTTGTTCTCCGTGTACAATAAGCGTATGTTGTTTTGTGTTTTGATATGTTGTCAGTGCGCATAATAACATCCGCACAGTGTATAGGGAGAACAACGGGTAGGTGCTACCGAAATTTTTAAGAAATAAAATCATACAAAGTATATGAAGTTGGATGTAAGCACTATTATATTCTTAATGGATAGAAGCCTTCCTATGACAGCCGTTAGAGTGTGCTAATTAGTCTCCATACATTAATAAGTTTCAAACATACCTTAATGCCGATACTTAAATGCAACAACGTAAGAGGAATAGTTTAAAATTTATGGGTATACTATCTATTCTCAAATATTCTTCTAACTATTTATTACCTACAGATGAGGAAAATTCCTGACAAGTCATGGATAGATATCCTTAGGTGTGAACGGTTTCGTGATCAACGATATAGGGATGGATGTGAAGCCTTCATGAAGTATGCCGAAATGAACCCAAAAAATTTAAGTAGCGGTGCAATGTACTGCCCCTGTTATAGGTGTAAGAATATGAAGCTGAAAAATAAAGATGAAATACGAAGTCACATAGCAAACTCTGGTTTTTATGAGGAATATAAATATTGGTCCTATCACGGGGAAGGTTGTACCGAAAATGAAGTCCCGGATGTGCATGTCGATACCAGTCATGGTGTCAGGATAGATGATACAGACATAAATTTACAGACTGATATTGGACCTGACTATACCGAATATGATATTAACAATGACAATGAATATGATATTATAGTTGATGTCCAAGATGCTCATGCTCCTGAGGACTTGGATCGTATAATGAAACTACTAGAAGATAGTGAAAATGATTTGTATCAGGGTTGCACCGAGTACTCCAGATTTTCATTTATGTTGGAGCTCTTACATATTAAGAGCCTCAGTGGAATGGCAAATACTTATTTCGAAATGCTTCTTGTTTTACTACGGAAGGTAGTTCCAGGAGGAGAGCGTAGCATTCCTAAAACAACTTATGCGGCAAAGCAAATAGTTTCCGATTTGGGGCTTGATTACAATAAGATTGATGCGTGTCCCAATGATTGTATTCTCTACTACAAGGATAATAAAGACCTTCAGGAATGTCCAACATGTGGAGTTTCTCAATGGAAACAACAAACTCGCTCTTCAACAAGGCAGCCAACAGAGTCAATGTCCCAGCAGAGCATGATTCTAGCTAAGGTGCTTCGTCATTTCCCGTTAGTTTCCAGATTGCAACGTCTGTATATGAACAAAGACACCACTGAGAACATGAGGTGGCACAAAGAAGACCGTATTGAAGATGGTAAGCTGAGACATCCAGCTGATGCAGAGGCTTGGAAGCATATTGATAAGACTTTTCCTAATTTCGCTCATGAATGCAGAAATGTCAGACTTGGGCTTTCTAGCGACGGATTCAATCCGTTCGGGGTTAAGAGTTCAGGTTGGTCTACATGGCCAATTGTCTTAATGCCATATAATTTACCCCCACTGCTTTGTATGAAACAACCGTATATGATACTCTCATTACTGATACCGGGTAAGCATGCACCGGGTAATGATATTGATGTCTACTTAGAGTCCTTAATTGATGAGCTAAAATAGTTATGGTCGGAGGGTATGTTGATATATGATGCCCATGCTAAAGAGTCATTTAGACTTTGTGCTATCCTAATGTGGACAATTAATGGTTTTCCAGCTTATGCTAATCTTTCTGGTTGTTCGACAAAAGGCAAGTTTGCTTGTCCAGTATGTGGCCCAGAATTTGAAGGCCTTCACTTACCATATAGTCGAAAGTGTTGTTATTGGTTCAATAGGAGATGGTTGCCCTCGGGGCACAAATACAGAAAATTGATCAATAAATTTGACGGCACTGTTGAGACTAGGAATAAACCACGTCAAATGACCGGTGCTGATATTGTAAAGTTGCTTGAGCATCTACCTAAAATTAGATTTGGTAAGAACCGATATTCTAAGTATGAATCACTCAAAGCTAGAGGCTCCTGCAAAAAGAAAAAGACACTGAAGAGGAAGAGAGCATTCTAACGGGCACATGTTGATAATGGAGTTGATAAATTACCAAAGGGATGGAGTAAATTCAGTATCTTCTTTCAGCTGCCATACTGGAAAAAGCTTAAAATCAGGTATAACTTGGATGTCATGCATATTGAGAAAAATGTTTGTGACAACATAGTTTCAACCCTCCTTCAAAATCCTAATAAGTCAAAGGATGACGTAAGGGCTCGTCAAGACTTAGCTGCATTGAATATTCGAGAAGATTTGCAAGCACAAGATGTTGGACTTAAAAAAAACATAAGCCTTCCTCTCGTGTTACGATGTCGATAGAGCAGATGCAGAGATTTTGTGAGGTCCTAAAATCAGTAAAATCACTAGATGGGTATTCAGCTAATATATCAAATAATGTCCAAGTGCAGGAGAGGAAGCTCTTAGGCCTAAAGACCCATGATTATCACGTTCTTCTACATCAATTGCTCCCGGTTGCATTGCGTAATAATATGGAGAAAGAAGCATCGAAAATTATTATGGAGTATTGTGGGTTCTTCAGAAAATTGTGCTCGAAAGTTATAGATGTGAAGGAATTTAAAAAGCTTGAAACAGAAATATCATTAATTTTATGCAACCTGGAGTTAATATTTCCTCCTTCCTTTTTCACGGTCATGGTCCATGTTACTCAACATCTAGCTAGCGAGGCAATCATTGCGGGTCCTGTATCTTATCGTTGGATGTACCCAATTGAGAGGTATAGGACTTCACCCAGTGCATTAATTTCATATGCAATGTATACAGCTTATATTAATCATATTCATGATTTTCTTTAGATTAGATATTTATAGTTCATAAAATTTTAATTATTATAGATATTTGGGGTTTATGAAGCGTCTAGTTCGCAATCGAGCTCATCCAGAGGGTTTTATGGCTGAAGGTTACGTGATCAACGAATGTTATACATTTGCATCACGTTACATGCGCAACCGCGTAAAAACTAATCAGCCCCCAACTAAGGAGAAGAAACTCGTAAAATATCCAAGATCTGACTTGGAGCAGGTTCATGCATATGTATTGAATAATCTAGACATTTTCAGCGATTATCGAAGGTAATGTGCATTAATTTAGGAATAGGATGACACTTGTATTATTTACATTCATTGTACCAATACAATCTCATTGTTGTATAAATAGGCGACATTTGGAGAAGCTTAACAATGAAATATCAGGCAGGAATACAGCACATGATATCCAAAAAAACACATCAAAGATTTTCCCGATTGGTTCAGAACCGATATAAGTAGCATAGAAGTAGTATTGTATTTTTTAATTTTAAGTTTTTAAGCAAACTCGGAGATCATTTTATTCAATTGATGCTTGAATTAGGTTGATAAAGACGTTCTTACTGGTGCCGTAATCTCTGAAGATATTTTAGTTCACACACAATGTCCTTACTATGAAGTGAGACGATATAGTGAACACATCATTAATGGGTATAAGTTTAAAATAGTGGCGACCGATGATAAGAGGGTAACGCAAAATAGTGGGGTCATGGTCTGTTTTGCTCAGGAATGTTTTTCTAGCATAAGAGATCAAAACCCAGTTGAAGCTGACATCTTATATTATGGCCAGTTGGAAGATATTGTAGAGATAATTTACGGCTATGGTAAAAAAAGTCAGCGTAATTATTGCATGTTTAAGGTTCGCTGGAGTCCTGCCAAACCGCGCAAGGATCATTATGGGTTTACACTAGTAAAACTCGATAAAGAGATATATCTAGATGAGAAGTTCATATTCGCAGAACAAGCGGACCAGTGCTTCTATGTGAATGACCCAAAGGTTGCCGCCGATTGGGTCGTGCTATACAAGGAGCCAAGATCTATTGTCCTCCCTAATAATAATGTCGATAGTGATGAGGACAATGAACCAATTGGTTCTTCTGATGAAATTTGGCAGATGTTCTCTTACCCTCAGAATGTCATGCTTGATATGATAGATGCAGAGATTCACGCTGACAACCCAATTTTAGTCAGGGATAGAGAACCAGAGGCAGATGTGCAACTAGAATCAACTACTAGTAGACGAAAGCAGGCAACGTTAAATATAGCCCGATCAATACAAACAATACCTCGTACAATACAAAAATAGCAAGTTGTAGAAGGTATATTATGTATGTCATTTTATGCGCGAATGTTATTTAAATGTTTAATTGCAATAAATGTTTATCTTGTGAATTAGTAGGCAAATATTTCGTATTGAACTCTCCTAATTCCATGTTACAGATGAAGAACTCGAGGTTATTCGATCAATCTCGTGATCGGTCATGATCTACGAGCTTAGGCTCAGAACAGCTTCAGGAGGCCCTAGGCTCAGAACAGCTTCTGGAGGCACACATTTCAGCACATCCGAATATAGGTATGAATTTTAATTATCTTTGTACAACTCAAAGTAGACATATGAAACATCATTTAGGCTAAGTTGTTCTTATATGGGTAGATGGTGCGGAATTATCGGGTCGTCTACGGCACACAACTCTAGCATTCTCGCCTCATATAGGTATTAATCATATATGTGTTTGTAATATTTATCCAATCATATTTGAAGTCCAGCTTTTGTATTTAAAATCTATTGTATGTCCAGAATATTAATTTTTATTTGCATAAATAATTTGGCAGTCATTGATTATTCTTCACCCAGAGCCACTGATTCACATGCAGAGCCCTCCCACACTATAGATAATGGTGTCGCAATATATTTATTTTTGCTTTGCATCTCAATATAATGATCTTCCAATTTTCTCGTATTGATTATCTTCTTTAATCATTGTAGAGGTGCTTTGCATCTCAATATAATGATCTTCCAATTTTCTCGTATTGATTATCTTCTTTAATCATTGTAGAGGGTTCTTGGACACCATCGTCTTCGCATTCCAATTTTCTCGTATTGATTATCTTCTTTAATCATTGTAGAGGGTTCTTGGACACCATCGTCTTCGCATCATACAAGGGGGCCGAGTTGCGTTCGTGGACCCCTGACATCCCCCATCTACCATTGCCTCCAGACTCGATTATATCAAAGACTAATGCTTTGAAGTATCATCCACTTGCACTCAAAAGGCTAGATGAAATAAATCCTATGATAACCGTTAGAAAGAAAGTTGCAACCGAAGTGATGGATAGAGAAGTGGCGAGAGGTAAATTTAATAATTTTGCGTAATTGTTTTCGCCTTTTCAGTACGTAACTTCTGTTGTCAATGTAGGGGCAAAGCGAGATGCAACTGGACCGGGAGGACGTGGTGGAAGCAAGCCTGATTCCAAACAGGCACCGAGAGACTTTCGGGGAATTCTTCAGTGGGTTGATAACTTGCCGATCGGCCCGTGGTAAAAAAAATTAATAACTACATCAGCGTTTTAGTACGGCGGGCCCAAGTTATAAACCCGTACTTCAAATTCAAGGAGCTTCCGTGGTCCGCATACGAGGATATATGGAGAGAGTTGATGGTATATGATCATTACTTCTTTGATTTTTTTTTGATATAGAATACATTTACAAAATGCTTAGATATCTTATATTTTTACATGAAAAATTGTAGAAATATTATTGTCTTGAGGACTACCCTGGGGCGTGGCACTATGTCTTCAATTTCAAAGTTGAGGTCGTGCTCAAACAGTGGCGACATGAGCTGAAGGTTCATACATATGATAAATATACCCAAGATTGGCAGAGATTTTTAAATCTTGATGAGAGGGTGGATCTCGATCATTTCACGTATCTTCTTTTTTATTAGGATACCGAGTCCGCACAAGTATGAGTACATTATCAGGTTGCGTACAAAAGCATATTGTAAATGCAATTCATTTTTAACACCTTTTTTTTGTAGGATAAATCTAAAAAGGGCTCGACGAACCGACATAGCAAGCGGAAGCTTGACCACCACTTGGGATCGACGTCCTTTGCCAATCTTGAGTATAGTTATTGTCGAGACACGGTATAATATTTATGTTGTTGTATTCACATGCTACAACCTTCAATATGACCAAACTTTTTGACATTTACTATTATATTTTGTAGGGGAAGCCCATAATGTCGATCAATTTGAAGGTGAAGTTAGCTTACGGCACCTTTCACTCAACATATAAAAATGAAGGCAAGATTAAAGAAAACATGGTTTTGGTGGTAATTATTTTTCAATAAATCATTTAATAATAACTATTACGTTGTTGTACATTTCATTAATTAATAGTTTAAACTGTTGTACTTTGAAATCAAGCTTCTTAAAAAAATCGCATTTCCACCCACGGCTTTTTACAGGGCCACATTCATTATTTGACAAATCAATATATATCTATTTTTCTTATGTGATTTAGGATAATATTGCTGCTGCGTCGAAGGATGCAGCACTACGTGCTACCCAAGAAGCTGCTAATGACCCTCATGTCTTGTCTAGAGAGGAAAATAATGTCATTATAATGAATGTGATGGGGTATAATAACCGGGGCAGATTTCCATTGATGGGGGTTGGAGCTCAGCGGGGTACCTCCAGAAAATCCTCCATGGCATCCTCGACAACCTCGACTGCGACAACATCACCAAATAGAACCCTTGCATCTTCTACAATTATGCGCATCAACCGTTATCTGCGCGGTAAGATCGACCGTACATTACTCATGCGGATGACGACGGCTATGTGTTCAGATTTGCCTCCATCCCCTACTAGAGACGATGTTTTTACACACATCGTTTTATACTTGTCTGGGAAGATTTTAGCTGAATTATTTGAAGAAGTTTTGGACCAATTAGATTTAGACGTTGCCACACAGGTAAATTACAAACAAGCAATTATTTTGTTGAATTTCATTCTCTAAATGTAAATCTATTTACTTTCAGGCTGGACTTGCTGGAGGAAGCAATAGTGGCGTGCAGATGATGGAACTTGACGATGATGAGGACTCTTGATTTTATGAGGTAAGTTAGTTAATTGTATGTGTGTATGTGTGTATGTGTGAATCAGAACATAAGTAAGTTTAAAGTTATTTAGC